AGAGCGAAATCATGTTACAGGGTAGCAACAGGCTCTCAGCCATTCATTTTCAGACTTTTCTGAAAAATGTCTGAGCTCAGCGCACACCATTTTTCTCTCATCACTGCAATTACTGTGAGTGACCTACAGATATGAATCGCTGGACTATTGGAGTCGACAAATAGCCCTCTCATATGCTTCAAACGGTTTTTGGATCGGCCTTACGGATCCTGAACGGGAAACAGTTGTTCGGACTGCTTTTTTCATTAAAACTGACTGGGTGTCTCATAAAGATAGATAAATCTGACACACACTCAGGGCAGTTTCATCACTATAGCAACAGAATACAGAGATAGGGAGAACTGCTGGGGGTTGGACTGCAAATCCTCTGTAGTTCTAAATAAGGTGGAACACTTTAATACAGAGGGCTGAGCAGAAGGTCAGAACTACAACATGGCGGAACACTCAATTATTACAGAGGAGGGTTGAGCTGGCAGTTAGAACTATTTGTTGTTTTGGCCATTATATAGTTGGTTTAACCCAACCACTGTTACACATTGGATTAGTGTGGCCATTTAAAATGAAGCTTACTGAAAATTTCAAAATAAAAGCCTTGACAATTTTCACATCAGGTAATTGCTCTTTTGGCCTTTATGTGACTGGTTTAACCAAACCACTGATACACATTGGATTAGTGTGGTTATTAAAATGAAGCTTACTGAAAGTTTCAAAATAAAAGCCTGCATATTCCGCTCACGTCAGTGCACCGCCGTAGGCGGTGGAATAATATTCAGCTTTTTTTTTGTTTTTTTGTTTTTTTTTCTCAGGATCAGGATGGTGAACTGCCTTGTGCAGCAAGGCAGTTCATTAACATTAGCATAAACATTAGCATTTCACTGCCTCCATTAGCTTTAGCCTTTTCCCTAAAGTTAGCTTTTAGCAATGTTTAGTATACTGAATGGTGTAACTCACTGACAGACAACATGCGACTGATACCCCACATGCTACTGATAGTCTTCACACTAATATTAGCATTTTGGCTCATTTTAGCTCATGTATTAATTTTAACATACTGAATGTTACAGGTACAGCTTAGTAAACATGCTTCTGCCTCTCCACGGGTTATTGACTGCAATTTAGCTAAGCTTAGCATTGATGATTATTTTTAGCATCAGAACGTTGGTTTCCAACCGACGGGCACACTTTGGGAGTGAATGTAGTTATAAGTTTAAAATATCCACCATTGGAACTGGTGCTTTTTTTATCAAAACTATTTGTATGACATGGTCTAATTGCTTTTAATTAAAACAGAAAAGCTCCAGTTATTCCTAAAACTGCAGGATAGCACCACACTTTAATTATAACAACTATAAAACAATAAATTTAAGGGTTTTCAAATGCTTATCGTAAGCATTTCTGCTCTTCACATAATAACATTTGGTAAATAATTAACTGATTTTAGCTTATTAGTCAGGCTATCTGCTCCTGCTAGAACCCATTAAACCTTCTAGTTTCAGTTCTGTGAGACTTATTTCTGTTAATTTGATATTTCTGTCATGATTTTGTCTGTTTTGTCTCTGTAGTACCTGGAGGAGCTCGATCTGAGCCTTAACCCGCTCGGAGATGGTGTGGTCGAGTCTCTGTCCTGCCTGTTGTCCAGCTGTCCTCTGCTGTCCAGGTTGTCTCTGCAGGCCTGCCGGCTCACGGCCCGCTTCCTTCAGCAGCACCGCCTGCTGCTGGCCGCCGCGCTGACAGGTAGGTTGACGTAAACCTGCACTGCTAAGTGTCTAAAAGTCGACATTTCAGGCCATTCTGCCGACAAAAGCTGTAAATCAGCTGCATTGTCTTCTTTAGAACATAAACATCCACTTTAAAAGACCAATATTACTGTTAAATCAACTTTTATTGATTTTATAGAATTTTTGGTTTTTATCATTTTTGGAAAATGTGGATTTTTGCACTCATTGGGTTTCCGTAGTTCAGAGTGATATCATCATGCCCAGGTCGGCCATCTTGTTTTACAGCTTCTATTTGAATTCAGGTCAACTCTGCGATGGAGTATTGGCGAACGGCTAATGCAACGTTTATTGATTGATTTATAAAGATGCAATAATATAACTTTTTTTATTTTATTTGGAAAGAAAGTGAGGGGGGAAAAAATGCATTTAAACGAAAATCCCTTCATGCCTCAGGACTGAGCCACCTGAAATCAGTGTCCCTGTCCCACAATGCACTGGGCTCCACTGGCTTTGAGCTGGTGCTGAAGACTCTGCCCCTGCAGACGCTCACTCATCTGGACCTGGCCGCCGTCCACAGGGGTCCAGCTGATCACCTGGCGCTGCAACACCTGGCCAAACTCCTGTCCCAGGTACGAACACACTCTGGTTGGGACGTTCTGTCCGTTTCTGTACGATGAAACCAGTAAAACCAGTATGTTTTTACAGGGCGAGTGTCCTTTGACCCATCTGAGTCTGGCAGGAAATGGACTGATGGACAGCAGCGTCACCATCTTGGCCAGGTTTGTGAGTGAGTGAAGCTTTACCATGTAGGGCTGGACGATAAATCAGTATCGCAATAGAGATAGATATCAATCGATAATACATAGAAACTGAACTCTGATCCAGAACCGCACAGCATTCTGGGAAATGAAGGCAGGGGAAAGGCTAGAGCTGCTAAACGTCTCACAGCTAGCTAAGCAGCCAGCTAAGCAGCGTTATTGGAATCAACTAACTCACTCGGTCTGTGGTTGCCTAGCAACAACCTGCTGGGTGAGAAGCAGTCCCCCTGCTTCCTTGCTGGATTTATGTTTTTTAAAATTTTTCTTATAATTCAGACTTTCTTCTTAGAATTCTGTTTTTTTTTCTCAAAATTCTGACCTTTTACTTTCTTTTGATTCTTTATTTTTTTAGAACTCGCTTTTTTCTTAGAATTCTAAGTGTGTTTGTTTTTTATTCTGACTTTAATCTTTTGAGATTAAAGTCAGAATTAAATTCCTAAGTGTTGTTCTTCAGAGGCCCTGATGCTTTTCCATTTAACACAACTGTAGTAAAGAGTGTTTTTGTGCTTACTTTAATTTTCTTGCAGCACCTTTAACTCTCAGTTCTGCTGATTTATGTAAACTTTAAGGAGTTAGCAGAGGTGGATAACTGCAGGTAGCTAACTTCCTAATGGTGGGTACGGGAGCTGCAGAGGCCAAAACATGACAGACTCCTGTTTATCCTTATCGCAGCTAGTTCTGTGAAATTCTGCGTTTTATTGTGGATTCCTTTTTGTTCATTGAATTCAGTTTGCATATAAATGTGACGTCATCATCAGCTGTTTCTGTTTTCCGTCAGGTGTCTGCCTTCATGTCCGACCCTGACGAGTCTTGACCTGTCAGGAAACCCGTCCGTTTCCTGGTCAGGCCTCCACAGCATCCTGACATCCGTCAGAGAGGCTTCTCGACCTCTGACCTTTCTCAACCTGCAAGGTAGACATCAGCCTGTACTTCTTTTTACACACATTTGTAAATATCCATTTAATCGTCAGGATTGTGTGCAGTTTTAGTTTCTAGAGCTGCGTGTGGTCGAAGCTCTGCAGCTGCATGTCACATAATCACACAAATTACACAAACCAGACGCATATAAAGAGTTTACAGAGCAGCTGATGAGCAATAAAGTGTTTTTATGGCAGATTAAACCTTTGGTTCTTGTGGCGACGTTGAGCTGATTTATTGCAGCTTTAGTGACTGAAACATCCGTTGACTTGTTCATATTCTGTTTGAGATTGTTTTAGGTCACTTAAAATAAAATTAACTGCTTGATTTCTCCGACTCAGAAAATTTGCACAAAACTTACTGTGTTTACAATCTGTGACGTGTTGGAAATGTTTACGCTTTTATTTTTAGTGTATTTTGGTTGATTTTCATTAAAAACTTCCCCCATGAGCAAATAATATTCAGGGTTTGTACACATTTTGGTGGTTTTAAAATGCTTAATTTCTGTACAAATTCCTTTTAAAGATATGGATATTCAAACTGCACAGTTTTGCAATCTAACATTTAATTAAAAGCTTAAATTTGCATTGAAAGCCAGATATTTTCATACTTCTTACACATTTTTTTCTTGCTATCTAAAGTTTAATCATACTAAACTTTTCTTGTTTTACGATAGTTAGAATTACCAAAATTATTTATATTTGTTAATTACCAGAAAACCTGGTGAGAAAACACTTTAGTTTTAATTTTTTCTTTGAAGCTAAAGTTTGAATAATACTCAGACGTCTTTGCTGCGTTCTGCGTTAGCTAGCTGCTAACACTTGCTAGCTCGCTAGCTTTTTGCTTCAATCAACTGAAAATGTTTCGCCACTTGACTGGACGAACTTCATACATTGAGTTTTAAATTTCATTCATAAGTCTTGTCTTAAATTTTAGTTGGTGAAACCTACAGAAACCCTGATCACTAAGAACAGTAATAAAAATATTTAAAAGTGAATTTAAACTTTTTTTAAAATTTAATTTGTATTGTTTTATCTCCAAAATATGGTGCTGGGAAAGTTTGAAAGAGGCAACTCCGTTCCTCCACATTTGTTAACATTTTAGGTGTTAATTTGACATTTTTGTTATAATAATTGTGTTTAATTCTATATTTTGTGAATTCTGTGATGAATTAATCGTCCTGTTCATCAGGTTGTCAGGTTTCCGGTCCTTGGAGCAGCGAAGAGCTGGACGGTTTGTCCGAACTGGTGCAGGATCTCCGTCTTTGCTCCCAGGGATTAAACAAGCTGGACAGAGACGCGTTGAGGCACAGCTGGGGACTCCAAGATGGACGCTGTGTGAACCGAAACGCCCGGTTCCTGCTTTCCGCAGCAGCAGCGTCATCATAAGGAGGCCTGTTTCACTTATAATGGACGATCTTTAAAGCCAGCTGTGGTGTTGACTGTAAATACTTGTGTTAAGAAGTATTGTTTTGTTAGTTCCATATACACTAAATAATGTTAACTTAAATTAAAATGCAATAAAAATTCCTTTATTTCCAATTGTCTGCATTTTTAATTCCGTGAATATTTGTGGGTCTGTATTTTTGTATTATTGTATGTATATGTAATATCTATTTTTTATGAAACAGAAAATTAGCCAAAGCCTTTTTGAAGGATAATGTTGGATAAAAATATTTAAAACTGTCTTAGCTAAGCATCTCTGACCAAATGAAACCCTTATACATATCGAGTCTCATGGAAAGGATTCTTCAGGTTGACGGAAATTTTCTCGATTTTAAGCTACTACTTGCACCATCTACTCTAGAACAGAACCAGCAATAGCGGGCATTGCTAACGAAAAATAACTAAACACTAATCACGGACAATATTTTTGGTTACAAAAGCTTAAATATTGTTTTACTAACACTGACGTTCTACGCCAACAGTATTTAGTGAAAGCTAATGCGCCAACTTAAAATCATATCCGAGCACCGATTAATTTTTTACATAATTTGCATGCGCTGCCGTATACTTGCATATTATATTTATATCTCTTTCTATAGTGTCCGTTTTTTTCTGTTTGAAATGTTATTGGTGAGGAAACGCGAAAACGTGAGAGGAAGCGGAAATGCTTTGTAAACAGTTTGACACCTTCAAAATAAGAGCATGCACATAAACTGCTAACGGCTTTAAGATGTCAAACTTTATTCAACCTAAAGTTTATATAACAGCCAACTAAATTTGCTCTTTATTTGGGAGAAGCTGAGTAGGCTTTAAGTAGTCCAATCCCATCGCAGACAGCTCTCAGTTTTGCCTTAATTTCTTGGAGAAACACAAATAACACGACTTTTCTCTCCACGTGGCTCTAGAGGTATTTTTTTCCATGCAACCATTTTGAACATCTTACCTCAGCAGAGCCGTTTGGCCCAATGAGTATTTTCAACTTGTGCATTGCCCACTTGCATCCCCAGCATATCCCTGGAAGCTGAAGCCAAGAGTTGGAAAAAAATTTAAATCATAAATCCATCATTGAATTTATTTCACCTAGAACAGAATTAGCCCTGGCTTTCACAAGTGTTTATATTTCAAAACAGAACCGCATAAAATGCATTTTCAATCCCAACCCGGACTCTGTTTGGACCGTTTCTCTTTTCAGCTCCGGAATGGCCGCCATCTTTGTTTTTGTATCACTGGCTCCACTTAAAGATGACAAAAATACTTTACCATGTGCTGGATGGAGGCCAAATTACAACGATAAATGAAGGTCTAAAACGACATCATTATTTAATAGAGGAGAAGTTGAAGCCGATTAGATGAATGAGCGCTATTAAGGCGAAACTTTAAGGTGGATTTCTAATGTTTAATTCAAAACAGAACCGCATAAAGTGCATTTTGAATCCCACGTTGTCAGAGAACGATGAATTTTGAAAATGTATTGTAGCACCCTCAAGGATTTCCCGTTCAAGTGTATGCGTCCGCCATCTTTGTTCCTGTACCAACGGCTCCGTTCAGGATGACCAGCGGCGCCCCCTGCTGGATGGCAGCCATACAACACTTAAAAAAGGTTCAACTGGACTTTATTAATTAATTGATTGGAACTAATTTTAAGTTAATAAACGATTTGTGGACAATTAATCGTAACTCGGTTAATTATTCGCATCCCTAATGCAGACTCTTTCTTATGGTGGAGGCATGACCTTTGACCTTATCTAAGAATTATAAAATGAAGCCTCAAGTTCTTTGGATGCTGTTGTATTACTTTTCCCACAAAGCCATTTAGGTTAGAAATTTTTCTCCCATAATAATAAGCACCTTAATTTCATAGTATTTGACTAATATTTAAATTGATTTGATGTTATGAAAAATAAACATGCAAAAATAAATAAATAAGAAGGAGTGATTTGAAAAAAACTGACACAATGATGTCAAATAAAGCAATTTGTCTGCCAACTTTATTTGTTTCAGAAAGAAAAAGTTTTCAGATGAAGATATGCTTTAGTTAAAGGAAGCTAAGAAAAGTTAATTATTTGCTGTTTGAAGGCGTTCAGCTGCATAAAGCTCATTATGTTTCTCTGGTTGTCAGTTGACTTCTCTGATTTCGATGCGTCGCAATTATTGTTTGTTTGGATAGAAGATCATTTCCAGATCCTTTGGCCTGTCGATAAAACACAAACAAAAATGAACAAATCAAAGTGTTGCAGTGAAAAACTGTAAAGCTGATCTGCGTGGGACTCACTTGCACGCTCCGACGTTGACGCAAATCGTTCTGACATCATCAGTTGTCGTCAGCTCCTCAATCAGGACTCCAAGGTTTGTGTTCACAAATTTATGGCACTTTGATTTTAGTAATCCAATCCCATCGCAGACGGATCTCAGTTTTGCTTTAATGGCCTGGAAAAATACAAACAACATGAGAGTTTTTTTCTCTCCACGTGGCTCTGGTGGGATTTTTTGCTGCATGCAGCCATTTTGAACTTTTACCTCCACAGTGGCGTTTGATCCAAGTTGTTTTTTCAACTTGTTCAAAGCCCATTTGCATCCCCAGCACATTCCTGGAAGCTAAGCAAGAGTTGGAAAAATAAGAGTTTAGAAAATATCTAAATTTATTTCACCTCACACAGAATTAATCCAAGTTTTCATTTAAATCTGCTTTAAGCCACTGTAAATAAACAAGGTTGGGTAGTATCTAGTCACATTAACTCACATTTGCTTGAGTAAAGTTTTGGAAAAGTTACTCTTATTAGAGTAAAATATCTGGATACTCGACCCACTGAGAGTAACTTCACTGAATAAGAAGAAGTTTGTTTTAATCAAAAATTCACCGGAAACAAACATAGACATGCAGTTTTAGCTAAAGTTTCATATTGAAATTCATTTCAGTTTTTTGTTTTTTTTTTGCTTGATTTTATTATTTTGGAATTATATTATCCATCCATCCAGTTTCTAACGCCTTGTGGGGTCAGGAGGTGCTGCTGCCTCTCCAGCTAACATTTCGGGTGAGAGGCGGGGTCACCTGTACAGGCAGTGGAATTATATTATTCATATAAAATTATTTTCACTTAGGAAAATACCAAAAAAGACACTTAAATTTATACTATAGTTCATATAATGATATATCTTTTAAATAATATAAAGTTTTTGACTTGAAATTCATCAAATTTCTAAAAGTGGACAAATTTTTATTTTTTTCTTGAAATATCTGGTTTTTTTTCCAAGAAAGTTTTTGATATTAACCTAAAATGTCCCATGTTTTATCTTTAGAAGATTTCTGAAATAAATAAAAAAAAATCTTAAACAAAATAATTTTCCAGAAAATTTTTGACTTTTGAAACTAAAAACTTTTTTCTAGAAATTTTCTGACATTATTCTCAAATTTCCTGAGTTTTTTCTAGCAATGTTTAACTTTTCAAACCTAAAATTTTTTGTTTTTTCTAGAAAATTAAACTAATCTCAAGAATTTAGTTTTTACAAGCACATTTTTGACTTTTCTGACTCAAAAAATTATTGTTTTTTATAGTATTTTGGCAGAAATGTACTCCTTTTTTTTCTATCGGCAATGGCCCTGTTGCTGTTGTAAATATTACATAATATTACATATTTTCTTAGATTGTGGTGGGAAAATGTTATGGGATTAACAAATCATAATATGTCATCTGATAATAAAAAATTCCACTAAAATAGAACTAAAATCAGAAAGTATGTTGCAGCATTTGTGTTAAACAATTTGTTGTTTACATATTTTTGTAGCATTCTGTGGCGTTTTTAGCAAGAAGCTAACGCTATTCATGACATTAACTTTTTTCTGGTTTAACAAAAAACTGCCTGTTTCAGTTGCGTATCTTTTAAAAAATCCTTTATTATGGATACAATGGAAATTGGAAAACAATACTTCCAGAATAATTTGAACCAAATTTTTAAATATCCTTACCCCTTGAACGTCAGGTTCTCCCAGCTCATCATCATCATCATCATCATCATCGATCCTGATCTTTAGGCTTCTTCCTTGGACCATCCAGACTGTGAAAAGATTAATCAGTTAGATTAATGCAAACTTAATTTAATGTAAATTTAGAAAAAAAAGCGCGTACTTGAACATGCCAGAAAGATGCACAGAAGGAGGAATGAGCGGTTCTCCATTGCTGACTGTCAGCTGAGTCCTCTGGAGCAAAGTCGGTCCCCAGTATTTATGTCTGATGGAGGTGAAGGAGGTGGATGTGCATGCAAAAAGTCATTAGCAAAAAGTCATAACACCTCCCCCCTCTTCTTTAAAGGGGTGGAGGTGTTAGGATGGTGGTCTTCTTTGTTCCTTTCAGTCATAGCTGTAAAAAGAAATGAGGGCATTGGTTTAACAGCTATTTTTTATTCCCTTATTAATAGTCACTATCTTAATTTCTAAGCTCAAGAAGTCATTTAATAGACAAATATTTAAAGTAAACTCTGTAAGATAACATTACTGTTGGAAAATGTATCCTCGGTACACAAAGGAGCATTAACACAGATCCTTCCTATCAGGCCACAAACAGTTTTACTCAATTCAAACATAATTGTTGAAAAGACGGATGGTTGTAAGTTAATTTTGTCTTATTTCAAGTGTACTAAGATATTTGTACCAGAAGCTAATGCACAAATATTTGGTAAGATGTCATATTTTTGCATAAAGATATAAAAAAAGAGAAAACAATGGGATTTTAATATTAATTGAAGAAGCTTCATTGGAGTCTAGCTTCATGAAAAGAAGCAAAATGTGAAGTAACTAGTCAGACACAATTTAGGTGAGAATGTTGGTTAAAAATCAGATGGGTGAATGAGTCATCTCAGACATCTTATGGTTTCTGAGGAAAAGACACCCTAAGATTCAACTTAAAAATCATTATTAAAACAAACAGTACGTGATGGTTATTTGTTCATATTCAATGCCAAATGACAGCACAAGATCCAGACTACAAAGACAGGAATGGGTAGGTCTGTGACTGTTTTGAGAAAAGGCAATATAATAATAATAATAATAATAATAATAATAACCATAAAATGCTACATTTAGTCTGTCACAGTCAATGAAAACATAAATATTAGATGGGTTGATAGATACCCGATATGCAGAAACAACAAGAGACTCAGGCTGGGTAACCTTGGTAGCGCTAAAGCTAATGCTAACGCTAAGCTAGCAACCCTAGAGTAAATTATAATAGTTTTTTAAAGTGTTTATACTTTTGTTTAAACATATTTCCAACAATACATGTGATGGATGGATGGATGGATGGATGGATGGATGGATGGATGGATGGATGGATGGATGGATGGATGGATGGATGGATGGATGGATCCATTCAGTGAAATGGTTTATAGTTTTAAAATGTTCTTTTACCAATAAAAACTAGAAAATGTAACATCCATTTTTATCTCTACCAGAGCTGAAGATTTAAACATTAAATATTTAGTCCATTTTTTCCAATATTCTTGAATCTGTCAGACTGAATTAAGATTTGATGGATTAATGTCGGATTTAAAGTCTCTCCTTGTTGTGTGTCTTGGTCTTCATGATGCCATTTGTTCTTTAATATCCATCCATCCATTTTCTTACGCCCTTGTCCCTTGTGGGGTCAGGAGGGTTGCTGGTTCCTCTCCAGCTTTGTTCCAGGCGCGAGGCGAGGTCACCTGGACAGGTCGCCAATCTGTCGCAGGGCTTGTTCTTTAATAGTCAGTGATAAAGTTCTTATGCATTACCAGAATAGTGGTGCAGAGGAAATGACACCTATTGCAACACTTCATCATAAAGTAAAAGAAGACCTGCGACTTCTTTTAGAGAATTTATATTTCCCGCTAATGCAATATTGCATATGTGGAAGAACGATGTTTCTATTGAAATGAAATTAAACTGAATCTGCAGAATCTATATTTTTATCAAAGTTGTTTAAAATCTTTATGACTTAAATGAACCATGATTAAAAGAATTTGTGGCCTTTTGCACTCAAACTGCAAAAATCACTGTTTGAATATGAGAAATAATAATTTTTCTTGGGCAGATTTAAACCAGAAACAAAGGCAGGAAAATTCCTTTTTGTTTTTTTATGAAAGAAAAAGAATTAAAAAAAATAAACGCAGTGGTTGTGATGTATTTAAAAGTTAGTTAGAAACAAGGCAAGAGATAGTTCTGTTGTTGTCATAGTAACTGCCATAGCAACTGCCATGGAAGTTAGTTACAGATACCTACCAAGATGGCTGCCAGTTGTAACAGAATGATTGTAGATTAAAAAAAGGGAGGAGTAAATTTCTTCTAAAAAAAAACTCAAGAAATTTTATAGAATTTTCTTTTAATTTTCTGTTTCAAAAGTCAGAAACGTTAAACTATTGTAAATCTTCTGATATTCAAAAAGCAAAAATGTTTAACTTTCTTTTGAAAATTTGAAATTTTTGACTTTTGGAAAGTTTCTGAGTTTCAAAAGATGAAGCTTTTGAAACTCAGAAAATTCCTTGTCTTCTGTAGATCTGTGAATAATCTCAACATTTTTTCAGAAAACTACTGTTTTTTTCCATCTACAATGGCCCTAATATCCAGAGAGAAGAAATGTATTAAAATGGGCGAACCAAGAGGTGGCATCGTATTCAGACTTCAGGCTGGAATTGCTGCTAAAGTTGGATCAACAAAGTATTAGGCAGAGAATGGAACATTTTCTACACTCAAAAAATGTTTTCACATTGTCATGGCGTATGGAATTATAAGGAAAGAGATTAATTTAACTAAATTTAAAACAATGTTTTCACATAAAATGTGTAAAAAGTGAAGCGCTGTGAATAATTTTCTGACATTAGATGTTGCTAAGTGACTGAGTAAATTCAGAAACAACTACCTTAAAGAGCTTTTCTATTTTCAGCATTTTGAACATGTTGCAAACATCCTGCTTAGAATAGTTGAGAAGGGGAATTGTACTTCATCACCTGCTCTTTTCTTAACTTTCTGTAAATAGTCAGTAGCCTTTGAGCTGCCATACACACAATAGTAATTCTCACACTATCAGTGTGTGAAAACAGGAAGCAATAGGGTTTCACTATATGAGTATGTGTTAGGTGAGTAAACTCCACCTCTATTAACGGTAACCCACTATGTTTCTCTGAACAGGTTAGGATAGTTCTATGTTCATCACATTTGAGCACAAAATCATCTTAGATAATGAGAATTTAGTCTTGAACTGCTTCCAGAATGAGCTGTTTTAAAGCTTCTTATCACTTTAAATCCAAATAAGCTGCTCAATATTTATACTCGTACATGAAAATGGCTGCTAACAGATGCACAATTATGCAACAGTTCATCTTTGAAAAGCAGAAGTAGAGCCTCCTGCACAATCAACAAGAATGTAGCCAATGATTTCTGGATTATGACATGTCTTTTCCAGCAGCCATTGTACAGCGGTAAATTCAGCTGACCACCAGTGCTATTTGAATGTGACTCAACAATCAGGGGTTTCTTGAAACGGCTCATTTTCCACACACCAAAATCACTAACCCACTGCCAAAAGATGGTTGGGTGTTGTTTTTTAAGTAATTGGGGTAGTTTTAGAAACAGTGAAGACCAAAATGCAAGTATGTAAATGTGCAAAATGTGAGTTTTGTATAATAATAGTGCTTTAAAAGGGTAGTATTATATAAATCCCAGGCAAATGGTGCCATTTTATAACACAATCAGGTAACCATGTTATCTTCAGTTGTTATAAAAGTGCTACATCTATCAAATATGACTTAAAAGGAATCTGACTTCTTGATTTAATGTGTTAAAAATGGGCCTATGTCTCTTTAAAGCTGCTGCTCTTTCTGGAACAACCATTCTACTCAAGGTTAAACTTATTTTGTGTGAATTTCGTGCAACGAATTTGACTTCAGAGTGGCCTAACTAAGGCCTGGACTCAAAAATGATTAGGATGCTGTGGTATGCCTTTAAAAACTCAGGAAGAGTCAACAAATTGTAAAACTTTTGATAAACTTGGTAGCATACGATGTGTTTTTAAACTCAATTTCGGTTGTGGCTTTTGTTGTTGTGTTGTGAAGTCAAGAGTTTAATTTGGACTAAAATTAAAATTAAAATTGGACTAAAATTAAACTAAAAACTGTGAGCTCAACAGCTCACAGTTTCATCTGAGATGAAACTGTGAGCTGTTGAGACAAGTGATTGGATTAGTTTATGAGGTGATACATTCTTGGTTTTGTCTCAGTGTTTTCATTTCCTGAGCCAGCTCTGTGAGTTATTTCTGTTAATTTTATTATAAAGTTATAACTTTATAACTATTATAACTTTATAATAAAATTTGATTTTTGTTATCAAAAATGCCCCATATTTCATCAACATTATATTATTTTCCGATCAATCACTTAGTTGTGGACTTTTTTATTTTATTTTTTGCTTTACTTCCTGTTGGTTTGTTGGTTTTAGAGCAAGAATTTACTGTCATTGTTCCCACATGATACTTGATACAGCCCGTGTACTTTCTGCAAAGTTCACGGGCTGCTCTTTATTCCAGGTGAGAAATTAAACATGTACAAATGTCATACAATACAACCTAAAAATAAAACCTCTCCCACTCAAGCATCTAGCTAGAAATTCATTGTTTTCTTACATGTTCACAAGTCATAACCAGTAAACCAAATACCAGTCTTTAGAAAAGTTAGAAAAGTTTCTGTTCGAGTTATGATGCTGTAAAAAGTATTCGTTCCCTTTCACAGAGAAATTTTACTGTCACACAAAGATAACGCGAATACAAACAAATTATAATTTAACTGGTGAAAGAAGCTATCCAAACCAACTCGACCTTGTGGAAAAGTTTTGCCCCATAAACACTGCAGAAATCCCGAGGGGGAAACCCGACCCAGGACGAAATGTCGGTCATTTTACTTTTGTTGTTTTTAATATCGCTAGATTACTTCTCTGTCATCGGATTTTAATTTATTTTTTTCAGTTTCACCAGCCAACAGTTCTAACCGATTGTACAAGGTGTTTTATTTAGATATAATAACGGCAGGCTAGTCCGCCATTAGCGGTTCTCCATGACTTCTCTTCCTGCCTTTCTTAACAGAACATCCGGTTGCATTTCAAAATAAGAGCATCAACATAGCAATGTTTTAAAAACTAACTGTAAGGATTTGTCAGAGATAAAAGGCTGAATGTCAGTATTACTATGCCGGCGTATTTAAGGCCATTGTAAATAGAAAAACTATAATACATGTCTGCCAAAAAAAATCTCAGGAATTTCCTGTAACACACTTGGAAATTTCTGTGTTTGAAAAGCAGAAAATTCGCCAGAAAAAGCTTGGAAATTTTGAGATTCATCTCAGAAATGTTCTAGAGAAAACGAGGAAATTTCTGAGTTTCAAAAACTTTTTTTCAACTTTTTAAATTTCTAAAGGTCACATTTACTTTTACTTCTGAAACTCAGAAATTTATTTTTTTTAATTTCTAAGAATAATCTCAAAATTTGAGTTTACCAGAAAATTTTCAGCTTTTCAAACTTCAAAATCAAGTATCTCCAACCACTCCCTGTCGTCTTCCTCTTCATGGTTTCCGGTAGTAGTAATATTCAGTTTTTGATCTTGATCAAAAACACAGAAAAGGTGTGTTCATTGCAGTTTTGCAGAATAAACCAGTTTCGATACGGCCAAAAACAAAACAAAATAAAACAGAAAAACCCTTATCCTGGCTCCAAAACGTATTGAAAAATGAGTTTTGTTTTTGTTTTTTTGGAATTGTAGTGTTTCCATTAAGCAAATTTATTTTTGAGATGTCAAATTGTGCAATTATATGGTCAGGACATTTAGCACATTTAATGGAAATTAAAAATTTCCATTAAGCAAATTTATTTTTGAGATGTCAAATTGTGCAATTATATGGTCAGGACATTTAGCACATTTTTGTCTCATTACTAAATCGCTACCATTATATTTTCAGGCTACATTTGGGATATCTTGATTCTACTTGTCTGGCAATAAGTAGGGCCTGGATGTGGCATTTATTTTGGTTTGGATAGGATTTTTCCCTCAAATGCAGTTTAAAGCATGTTTTGTTTGTATTCAACCAGGCTAGCTTAGATTATTTTTTTATTTGCTTGATGATAATAAAAAAATTGACTGACACAAAGAGAGGAAAATAAGGCTGTTAGAGACAAGAACTTTTTACAACTTTGTAGTCTAGATAACTTAAATCTTTGAGGAAAAATAACAAAAAACACAATAAACTGCAACTTAAAATTAAAAATGAGTCATGTAGAAAATGTTTGCAACCTAACAAGTGGCAGATGAGAGGATAAAGATACTGCAAGACACTGGATATTTACTGTAGGTTACAGTTTTTCCCTTTATAATATAGACCTGAGGTCTTGAACATCGTGTATTCTTGGATTTTGGTTGTTTTATGTTAAATCTTTATTTCTTATAGCAGTCTAAATGTGTTTAAATATTTAGATAAATCCTTCAATTTTGGTTTTTTACGAGATTATACTGAGGACATGTAACACTACATTTTGCTTACTGTCAATTGGCTAAAGGTTTCCATCTTAAAATGGAATTTTGGCGTAACAATTTTGGGGGCTCGTCCGGGACTTCACTGAAAATGTAACAATGTAACTGTTTCTGATTAATTTGGACACAGTGAGGGTCACATCATAAAGTACTTTGGATTTAATGACTCATTCACATCTTTTTCTTTCCATTTTACTGTTTCAGAGCCATTATAGAATAAAAATAAGGTTTTGTTTGATGTTAAGAAGAGAGCGCAAATGAGTAGAAACAAAAATAAGTAATAGAAACAAATTCATAAAGTTTTAGGACAAATCAAGGCATAAATGCTCTTATTCTCTTATTGTAAATAGACATGTTTGTTTTTGTACTGCTGTGTGGCGTCAGTAACTCTGTCATAGAAAACTACACTTACTATTCTTTACTTCTGTATATTATATGGAAAATCCTGTAGTATAAAAGCATTTGGAACTAAACTATGTAAGAGGGGAATTCTGTTTATGTAATAAAAGCTGTAAAAATAATTTCAGTAAGCAAGTGTCTATGTTTTTACACTTTAAGCTGTTTTCTTTTATATGACCAACTGCTTATATTTAAATAAACTACAGAAAAACAAAACAAAAGCCACAGGCTCTATAAATTAAAAGTAAAAAACAGTGACACAGTGATCTCCTGTCTCCTTGCAGTTTGTTGTTGCAGCGTCTTCTTGAGCAGGACCGTCTGAGATGGAGTTTTGTCTGAGTTTCTGGTGCCAAACTCATCAGCCCTTGATTAAACTCCATTCTGTGACGATGTGAACGCCTCTCTTCCTGCTCCTTCGGTTCCTCCACCTCCTGGTGGCTGATCCAGTCTGACTCTTTATCCCTGTCATGCTTTTGCAGAGTCTTTGTCTCAGATGATTTCCAGGACATCACAGGGAACGTAGCCTCTCTTCTTTCCAAACGCCACTCTGATAAAGCCGCCGCGCTCGCCCTCACTGCTCACACAGATCTACAGCAGAGGAGAAATAATCATCAATTAATGGATGAAAAACATCTCAGGAGTTTAGCAGCTGCTCTATTCTCTTACTTAATTTACCTTTTACATCCCAGATTTAAAATGAGTCTGCTTTCGGACTGCAACAAACAATTATTTTAGTAAACGATTAATCGCTAGTCTGACGATTAATCAGATTTAAAAAATTCACTTAACCACATAAGCATTTTTTATACAATGTTACAAACACATTAAGGAAATAATTCAATTTCCGCTTGACTTATCGATACATTGTAGGGGCAATCTGTTGATTACTTTCTGGATTAACCAATTAATAATTACACAGCACACTTAATTGGATATTTTTAAGAAAATTTGAACCAGATGAAGCTAAAACTGCCACTATAGGGGTTCACGTTTACAGTCAAATACCTTTTATTTTTATCTTAAGGCAAAATGTATTTTTCTGTGCAGTTTTGGTTTAGTTCCTGCTCTGTGCTCTTTATTCAGCAATTGGCCTTTTTTTGAGTCTATATACTCCAGTTAGTGATTAATCAATTACTAAATTATTATTTTAATATCTGATTCATCACGATTAATCTGTCTTAATTAGATATTATTAAAGAAGGAAAGGAAATGTGTAGCATGATAATAAAACACATTATTGCTCATCAGTTCATTTTTGGTTGGCTGTTTTGGTTTAAAATTCCTGGCAAAAATAGCCTGTCATCATTTTTGCTGTCAGACTATTTTTAACAAAAATCTGAGTTTCTCACATGCTCATAAAAAAACTATTTTACTTTTTTTCTGCATTTATTAACTTCCATATTTTATTTCAATCACATCATTCACTCCTTTACAACTGTCACTTTAAATGGATTCGTCTTAGTCGTGAAGGATTTCTGTTCCTCGAAACACGTCAAGTGTTTACGTTTTTGGACTGGCCTCGTTTAAACCTCGACCCTGTTAATGGGACAGAACACATGTATGTGTATGTCTGCTCTGAGCATTTCTCCCCTGGGTCTGAGTGAATGGAAAAGAGAGTCAGCAGGTCACAGATTCATCTTGCTGAGCTGGTTTTATCCCCACTGGGGCGCGTTTACTTTGGGCGTACTCAGAGTCTTCAACACAACAGGTTCTGGGAAGCAAACAGAGGCTGGTCTGAGATCTGCTAACAGCTGAGATGTTAATTTGATTAGATTCCTGAGAGGAAAGGTCTGTGGACTCCAGATTAACCTTTCTGTGAACAAGTGTGTGCCAGAATAATTTAACCAAAGAGCTGTTGGATAATTTGAAGCTCAGGTTCTGAAACGTTGAGCTGTGACTTTGCATTAGACATGTTAATGTATGAAATTAGAGGCTAGTTAGGGCTGAATATTTACACTTGAGGTTATATTTCCAAATGTTTCTGTCCCTGTCAAATAAACCTAATAAAGAAAAATAAATGTGTTGTTACGGCCCCTGGCCTCTGGAAGCATTTTACATTCCACTTGTTTTCTCTGGACACATCTTTATGTTACACCTCCTGAACTGTAACATGTAGATAAAGGCTGCAGTTAATAATTATTAATCTAATATTTTGACAATTAATTGATTAATTGGATTAGAAAAGGATGCATCTGCACCTAAAAACATCTCCAGAATGTAATTAGACATTTTTTTTCCAGATTTGGCTTAATTACAGTCAAAATTGTAACTTATACACTTTCAACCATATAATAAGTTTAATCAATCACTAAATTAGTTAATTATTTCAATAATCAATTCATCACGACTAATCTGATCAATTGTTTCAGCTCAGTATTTTAGTTATCAATTAATCTATTATTCTGACAGTTAATCGGATAAAAATATTCAGTTAACCTTTTTATACAGTGTTAGAAATAGATCAAAATGGGTGAATAAATTATTTAAATGAGACCAAAACATCAAACTAAAGACTTTTATCATCCAGTTTTTGGTAGAAAAAGAAAAGTCATGCAAATGGAAATTATTGAAATGAATTTAATTTATTATGTGATTAATTGATTTATTGCAACAAGTCTAATTTTATGATGTCCATTTATTAGTTTACTTGTTTCTTCAATACATTTTTATAATTTAAAAAACGTTTAAAATACATTAAATCCCACAAAATAATGTTTTTCTCATATCATAGTTTATAATGTTTTGTTCCACTGGTAGATTATTTCTCATATCTAGAACTTTTTCATCAGTATTAAGGATCAATCTCCCATATGAAGCTAAAACGTTACTCAGTTTTGCCTTATTTTAAGATATTTACATCAGAAATTGGACCAAAAATACTTTGTACGATTTGTGATTTTGCTGCTAAAACAACAACAAAAGAAGTAACTCCAGTAGATTTGGTTTGTGAAAACCCTGCTGGATGGTTGTGGGGTAAATTAGCTGCAGTACCTGCCCCTCCTTCAGAGTGAGCTGCCCTTGCTCTTTGCAGCCGATGAACGTCCTGTTGCACCTGAACACCTGATCTCCCTCCTGCAGCTCATGAGCAAAGGCTGCTGGGAAATAACCAATCCTGTCCTCAATCACCCCCTAAAAAACAAAGAACAGACATTCATCACGCTAAAGCTAGCGACTCTAAGACGGCCGAGCCGAACACAAACGCATCAGCAAGGTGTGCAGAGCTCTTGGCCTGCTGAACTGGGACAGATGTGCTTATTAATCTGCGCCTGCAGACGATGTTAAAATGCATAATGAGTTTCCGTACGCTCTGCTGGAAACAGGCCAGCTCGGCCATTTTGTCCCCTAATTCATCTCCAATGTGTTTAATGAGTCCTGGAGAATTTTCAGCTC